TCTCGTGTATGAGAACGCCAAGTTCTACCTCCCAAAATGGACGAGCGATCAGAGCACAGATCAGTAGAATTTCTCCCTGCACTGTATTATCCTGTACTAGACAGTCATAGAATTACATATGTCGTTATCTCTTTAAAATATTACTTCAGGTTTTATGACGGCAGCAGGATTTCCATGGATATTGTCCATATTTATATCCGTCCCGTAGTGTTAACTCTTCCTCCTTTTCGTTCAGTCGGCCCTCATCTTCATGTTCTTATCGTCCTGGTGGCCACAACAGCCCTTGCAGTATTGCCATGCCATAGTCACCGAGCGTAGAAGCGCCGATACTAACATAGACAACCCTAGTCAGCAAAGATTTCACTGTCTTAAATGCGTCACATGCAGTCGGCATGTCCCAGCCGAAATGTTCATGATTGTTGCCGAACCAAGCCAGTTCATCAATACGACGTATCAGGGCAACCAACTAGCGTAGACTCAGTCCTGTAGTTGAATTCGCCGAGACATGAATTTGACATCATGTCTCTTAACATTCCTTCCTAGAGCACTGCTACTAATTAAAGAAGAAGGTGAGACTGCGATCAATGGCAATCTACGACAAGTGAGACTCGCAGCACAATATCATAATTACTATGACAGTTGCATATTCAAGTCATGTGTGCCGTGTGTTTTACTCTTTAGGCTGCCTTCCGTCCTACTATTTCCGTCTTGCCGCACCACGCGAAGGTCTAATGTCGAACAACACGGTAGCTTTGGATTCAAGCCATGATCTCATCATTTGTTCATCACGAACTCCTTATTTTACTCCCACCCTCTCGGAGCATGTAGCCAAACGTGCATTATATTTCCGTGTATCCTCTGTAGGTTCCAACCGGTTTTTCCCACAGCACCATCTATCCAGATCGCCGAGACAGAAGTATCGAGACGATTAGCACCTACCGTGAAATCAACCACCCTACTGGCAGGTGGATGCAACTCTAAAATGCCGAGTAATGGTCCGAAACAAATACAGCAATTCATTGCCTGAAGAATTGGATCGCTTATGAGTATCGACATGACCGTAGTAACTTCTTGTCACGGGAGCATATGCACTTTTGGTAGAGAGGGTATTTGTAAATTCCATGTCCAAGCAGGTTAGGAGAGCTTCATCATCAGCTAACTATTCTCATATACTCTATTATTCCAAGCTCGCTATCTGACAGTCTCATACCCAACTTACGGGGCCCCCTTTACCATATTGGCTGAGTGTCTCATGGCATAATGATTATCTATTTCAAGACTAAGTGGCCTTACCTATCTCTTCACTTAACCCCTTTATACTTGTAGTCAGCTCGACACATCATGGTATTAGAGTCTAGCCTGGGTAGAAGTCTATCCGGAAAATGCTGATGAAATATAATTGTATAGAGGAATGATATAGTTCATCGTCGTTATCTACAAGCTACCTAGAACTACACATAAAACTCTTCTCATAGGCTGTAGTACCAAGCCAGGCTTCGAGCCAACTCGCGAAGCCAGGGACCTATATGTTCTTAGCTATAGTGTCAGTCCGGGTATCATGCCATCTCCACGAGCTCCGACGACGGACCACGAGTAGCACTGCCCAATGCTCGGGGCGCGGCCGAGATCTACGTCATATTCTAGTACGAGAGCCTACAGAAACCAGAGCACTGTGATATAAAGTCTAGATCAGGACGAAGATAGTCAGAAGCCGTCGATTGAAAGCAAGCCTTAGAACACCAGGACATCCGGGACTATAAGCACCGTTCTCCGCTCCGCGTATACTAAGCCCGAATAATTATATAAGACTCCGAAGTGGATTGGAGCATACACCACTTACTACGAATGCCGCAAGATAAAATGACATGATGTTACTTTCGCTCGTTTGCGTTGCAGGACCTACTATAGTTATGTAAGAGGTATTGGGCTGATACATACATTATATTCAATATATACGTATTCTTTTTAACTCATGAACGTAACGAGACTTCGTCGTCTTGTACTCATTATTTAAAGTTATAATGGCAGGACTAGAACAGAAACTACCTGACTGGGAATGTGGGGCGTTGCGTAGATACTGCCCCACTAAGAACTAGGGACCCATTGCGAGCTCCCGCGCACTTAGATACCCGGTTCTCTGGGATAGTCTGATAATCACAAGCTTCCCTTCATCCAACCTACCTACTTCCTAAATAAGCTCGACCGTCGCCCTCAACGACGACCGTATTTACCGGCCATAGCCCTTGTACAACTCCAATCAACATTTTTAACCAACAATAGCAAGAGCGCAAGCCTCCAACCACACGGACACCCCGCGAATAGCCCTATCGATCAACCAGCGCTCCTCCAAAATCTCCCCTCCTTCAATCCCATACTATAAACATGGCCGACCGCGCACCACTCCCGACTCTCCGCCCAGGCGCAAACCGCGTAACCCGCGCAGCGACGAGCGCAACAGGCGTCCGCCGCAATCTATTCCAAAGCCAGCTAACGCGCCGTCCCACGTCGACCGAGACCACAAGACCAGGAGGAGGCGCTGGCGCTGGCGCCGGCGGTAGTGGTGGTGGGGTCAACAACAACAACAATAACAATAACAATAATAATCACAACAACAATAACAACACATCGATGACAACTTCTTCCTCAGCCGAGACGCTGCGCCTCGACGTCGACGTCTTGTCCGAGACCTCGGAGATCGTGATCCGCGACCAGAACGGCGAGTTCGAGATTGAGGACCCGCCTACGCCGCCGCTTGATGACCCCGACGATGAGGTCGCCCTCGACGATGCGCAGGAGAATGAACGTACGCATTTTGCCCCTCACAAAGGCCCCCTTTGGAGTACCGGAAGGCTATTATTCATGTGCTTATCATTTATGTGTATAGGAGAAAGACGGAGATTAGCAGAGGCTGTTCGACATCACCAGATCAATCACACGCGCATGCCGGTGCCACCCGAAGGTAATTGAGGGTAGCCTTGTGCTGAAATGCTGACGCTAACAAGGGAAGCAGAGGTACTCGAATTACTCAAGGCCAGCATGAGGGCAAAGGTAGCTGCATTGTCTGAGGACAATTGGATGTATGAGGCCGAAGAACCACCGCGAGTGCATTGAACAGGGTCAGAAGGGATACTCTCCATCATATTATTTATATGGTGGCTGTCTATGCTATAGCTGTCCCTGCGCAACTCGATTAATCTAAACCCTCCGCCGCTGGCATCGAGGTCGATGTCGGAGCCTTCACGGCAGGCTTCTTGGCGCTCCCGCCTGCGGGGGCTCCGCCGCCGCCGAAGAAACCACTCATCATATCCATCAAGGGATTGCTCTGCCGGGGCTTCGTGATGCCGAAGTATATCTCGGCAATTATGTCTAGCGCCTCGTTCCACATCTCGAGGTCTTTCAGATGACTCGCGTACTTTGCCGTCAGCTGCTTGTAGAGCTCTGGGTTGCCTCTCTGAATGGCAAGTAGCAGCAGGCCAAGGAAGTTGAGGAGCGGTATACTTGGAAACACACGCAAATCGGCACTATTGCTGCTCACGTCTTGGGTACCAAGCTGGGACTGCTTGTCGTCGCTAAGCGCACTGGTGAAGACTCGGTAGGATGTATTGGCAGCCCTGACGTTGGCCGTTATTAGGTAGGGCAGCACGGCTCGGGCGGCGTATTGGGCGGCTGTGTGTGCTTCGTCCTCCTTGAACCACTCGTATTCCATGCGAGCTAGTACCTCGGCAGAATCTTTGGTACCCAACAATAGATGTTTCTCGGCATCGTAAGCCTCGTGCTCTTCTGCGTAAAGGGAGCCGGCAACATGGTGGAGTTCGGGGTCTCCGGCGGGGTATTCGCCGAATCTTGAGGACCATCTGTGGGTAGTCTTCTGTGTTAGCACATTCTAGTAGCTCTTCCTAGCTAGAGCACGAGCCAAGTGACCGAATAGAAGGAAATTATGAACCTACGATATTATCTCCCCAATGTACTTCTTGCGCGTGGGCTCCTCGCTGTCGAACAAACGCAGGCATGTGAGCAGTTTGCTCTTGGTAGTGGGGTCGGGTTTCAGCTCGGCCTGCTTATAGGTGTCGACGAGAAGGACGCAGAGATCACCACCACTGCCACCCTGTCCTGCCTTCAGCAGCGACAGCGCGACATTGTACAGGATGTCGACGGCGGCGGTCCAGTTGGCGGCCTTGGTGTATCGTGCAGCGACGACGCGGGTCTGCTGCTGGGCTTCGTAGTACTGCCCCTCGCTGATTCGCTGCTGCAACCGCGCGATGATCTTCTCGATCTTGTCGCCGCCTTTGGCGCTGCTCATGATGGGCTAGCTGGCTCTGCGCTGGTGTAGTGATGGCTACCTAGGGTGTAAGAGTATGTGAGATGCAATGTTCTGTTTGTTTAAAGTCTTTGGTCGAACTACCCAGGTAGATAAAATAGGTACGTGCACACAACGGCCGATGTTCGTGTTAATCACTGGTGCATTGAGCTGGTAATTAAGTGTTATAGTGGACCTGGGACGACCCGAGAAAGTGCTTTGCTTATTCCGATCCTTGATGATGGAGGTGGGGTTACGCAGCTCCCGATGGATGTCAGCTCAAGCCGGGTCGTAGAATATTACACTTTAAGTGCATAGAGCGCTACGGGACATACCCGCCCGTCGTTCTAGCCCTGGATTTTAGTAACGGTGAGCATCTTCACAAATCGCGATAAGAGGGCATCGTCCTGCAACCCCACATTGTTTCTTGATAAAAGCCCCATTATCTTGTTCCCACTTGCTTACGTCAGTCATTGTCGCTTTAATCATTGACTAACAACAGACAGTGTTCTGTTTTTCTTGCTCCTTTTTGGAGGTTGATCTAATTGTAGCTTTGCTATGGGTTTTGTAGAATTCATCTTTTGATGATGCGGTCTTACCAGTAATACCTGTATGATATCGCGCGGTGCATTCTACACCGAGGTCCTCGAACGTTGCTTGGATATAATGTAATTCAGTAATGACTACCTATATACATAATACAGCATTAGTGGTGTAATGGTAACATTGTGGCTTCCCATCAAGAAATTGGGGAGCAGCTACAGCTTCGGGTTCGATTCCCGGCTAATGCATTTTTATTTTTTCTCCCTAATGTTTCATGGTAGCGTAGCTATCACTCTTTTTTATAATTTTCTTGCCTGTCTCTTACTGATTTGCACGGAGCAATGCCAGAGTGAGTGGCAGGGTTGTGTGATATATAATGGGGCTGGATGTACAAGAAAGTCACGGCGTAGGCATATCACTATCGTCTTTGCACTACTTATTTTTCAGTTGCATATACGCAGTATAGTTTATATTGTTACAACACTCGTCTGGAACTCTGCTTTCTATCCAATTGTTGCTGTGTAGTCAGTGAATTGCCTACCTAATTTGGAAATGGTACTATTGGAATACGGCGTATAGGCGGACCCCCGGCTCCTTAGGATACAACCATCGTGAATCACTTAGGAAACTAGAGTAAGTGTTTTGGCGTGAGATCTAAATATATAAAATGCTTCTCGAATTCCCATGATGATCTGAATATAACTTTCTAGATTATCATTTTCGAGTACTGCATCTACCATTTATCCTTTCTTCGAAGTCGCGATTACCTTTGCCCGCTGAGATGATGTCTGCTCGCTCCCTAGCGTCAAGAGCTGCTATAAGAGGGGCACCACCACTTACACGCACGCATACCAATCTACGTGCAGCCTCACTTCTGATTAACGACTTGAGAAAAACCAATGCATGCATGATTAGACAATACAGCATTGGGTCAAGAAGAGCTCCCGCCAGGGGCACTCGCCTCCTCTCGTCGTCTTCTGCATCTCTATCCGATAAGAACACTACTACTACCAACACTGGCAAGGATGGAGCAGCAAAGCCGCAGTCAAGAACAGGCATACACCAGGCTTCAACGCCGTCAGAAGACGGCTTTAAAGTTAACTTTCGAGACCTCGGCATGAACCGTGTCACTAAGTTCGTGGTATATGCCGCCATCGGTGTACTCGGCACCATGGAGACTATCTTCTGGTGCAAGGCGCTCGTAAGTGCACAAACCACGTGCCGTCATAGTGCATGCATGTTTCTCTTAGAGCTTTCTCTGCTGAAGTGAGAAGAGTATTTTACTGACTTGAAATATTGGGTGTAGTGGCGCTGGTGGACTGGTGGTGAAGAGGGTAATGAATGAATGGAATCGATATGTCCTCTCACACGAGAGGGATTCACGACTTCTGTAATATATTCTCCCCCTCTATCATTGAGCTTGGTGCGTTCTTTATAACCTGTTCAAACGAGGTTAGACATAGGCGTTTCGGTCGAGAAGGGCTTCGCTACTCCGTGTTGCAGACTTTGCTAGGACAACAACTCATCTCCTAATTAGCATCAGTGAGGGTAATAAACCATCACCGCACCTTGATATAATCACATAATAGTCGCAATATTGGGTTATACTTAGGAATAATAGTGTCGATCGTTTCGGATTTGTTATTCTCCTTTGTTAAAGGGTTGGCATGCCATCACACTCTACATCCATCTGTTTGAACATCACTATAACCCACAACTCTAAACACCTCAGGCCCTATAAAACCTAGGTGCAAGATACCTCACAGACACCCGATGACTGTACTGTTGTTCTTAGAACAAGACCTACTTTTCAATTATGTTGTGATTGACAGGTTTCGCCTGGGCGGGTGGCATGTGTTGTCAAGTTATATAAAGCGGATTAGGATCGAATTAGTTTGAGGGATCCTGTAGACTACCAGAATAGGTGGGTTCATTCATTTTTGAGCCCAACTGGCTGCCTGAGACCGTGCACTTCTGTTCGAAAACGAGGACATGCTCTGTCATGTATTTCAAATTTGCAGATCATGTTCTAGACATACCAGTATTCGGTCAAAGCTACCACAATAGTGTGAAACTTACCGCCATATCGCGGCCTCCAAGTTCGAATACGTGTTGATGACTGGTACGTCTGAGTTGTGACTTGGTAGTCCGTCAGAGGGAGATGGCCTCAAGAAGTCTGAGTGTGCTGTTGGGGGCCCCGGCTGGCTGCATAGGTAGGTAAGTTAACCAGTTTTCGTGATTGTCACGATCTCGGCCTAGCGTCTAAAACCAAACTTGGAGTGGTGAGCCAACTGCCTAGCTACCCAAACGGGTTTTATCTATTGGGCTCGAAACTTGGATTGTGTTACAATCGGAAAAAGTGTATCCGGGTGATGACTCGAGTATTTGCTCGAGTAGTATCCGTCATACCCTCCTCCATCTAGATAGTGGCTTAGTCAAGTCTAGATGGGCGATTTGCGCACAAGCCCGGATCTGCCATAGCTGCCATAGCTACCATAGCTATACGCTAGGTATTATGCTTATCGGGGCCGGGTCCACTTCCCACTTCTGAACGTTCGAGAGCTCAAACGGCCGTCGACGTGCGTATTGAGAGGCACGGTTGGGCACGGTATGGAATGCATCACGGGCTTTTTCTACCTATGATAGGAGGTATTGTGCACCAGTGTCCTGGTCCTCTGGCTCGGTCCTTGCATAAAGCACCGGGTAAAACGCGGTACACGTGTGTAGGTGGCATCTGGGATAGCGCTGGGCAATCGTTAGCGCGTCTAAACCCCACTAAATATCCACTCGCTGGGTGGGGCAGAGCGAGTTTTAGCGGCAGATTTAGCGTGCCCGCGTATCGTCCCAAGATGAGACGAAAAACGTCTTTACTTAGTAGATTTACGACGATGCATAGGTAGTGTAGTGTACAGGTACAGGTACAGATACAAGACAAATTATGTACATACATGGTGAATTCGTGTAGACGTTCTACTACGCGCGCAAGGATGACGAGTCTGGTGGCGGGAAATATTGGAGGATCTACTTGACTTCCCAATGAGATACCGTTACCGTCACGCACTACCTAGTAGTCACTTGCTCGGCGCTCAGTTCAGGGAATTGGACGCCTAAACGGATAGCTGATGGTGAAACATAGCGGTGGACGGCGGTGTACACGTGTGCACCGCCACTTGCTGAGTTACAGAACGTTACAGTACTGACATAATAGTAGTACTGACATACTCCGTACTTATAAGCTATCTACAACAGGACCTAAATGTCAATCTTCCGGTCCAGAATAGATTCTCGCCGACACCAGAGCCAGAGGGGTAAGGTCATTGGCTGTCGAGCCCCGCTCGCCCTGTTTTATTGTGGTACTGCGATATGACACTAATCTGCTTAGGGAAAGTCTTGGCAACGTATGAGGGTCTTTTAGCCACACCGAGTCAAGCCACTGAGATCCCCTGGTCTCCTACCCTGGTCCCCGTTGAACCCTTATTAAAACGAGATGGCATTAAACGAAATGGACTGTTTCCTCGGACAGCGGCAACATAACGGCGGGCTGATATCACGCTAGAAAGCCTTATTCTCACTTCTTCTCTTCAGTGTTTTTTAATCAACTAGTGCATTTTCTTCTTACCCTCGTTTTCCTCCCGATATTTATATATGTGTGCCCAGTCTCTCTTCTTATCTGATATCATACCGTGCCCTTCGTTGACGCCATAAACCATAAATCTGACCTGCTCCTAACCTTCTTACCTTAATGGCTGCCGATATCGAAGAACCTGTTTCGACAGGGGATAACAGTGCCATGGCAGAAGAGGTCAGGCCTTACAGGATTCATGTGAGTTTCTTGTTTGCATCTTTCAAATATGTGTATTATCATCAATATATAGGTGGCTGATATCTGTTTCCAGGTCTCCTCTCGATATCTCAATCTCACCAAGCAGAAACTTGAGATCGCACGATTGCCTCGTGAACTTGATGAGCCCAAGTCAACGGATTGGTGGCAACCACAGTCTCAAGTTGAACCTCTGATTGACTACTGGTTAGTTTTCCCTTATCTCCCAAGTTTTGTATTTCTCTAGCACTTATATAAGTCACTGCACCTCATCTCTCTCAATGGAAGGAGAAAATATTCATGAACCGATATGCTAATATCGACAGGCTCGAACAATATCAATGGCGGGAGCAAGAAGAAGCATTGAATGGTCTCCCGCAATTCCGGACGGGCCTTGCCATCCCTCAATCCAAATCACATATAAGAATTCAATTCATCCACGCTCGCTCACCACATTCAAACGTGATACCCTTATTATTAATACCCCCATTTCCCCTCTCCAGCCTTTCTCTGGGACATTTAATCAAGCTATTTACGGACCCAGAAGAGGCGAATCTTCAGCCTTTCCATCTCGTCATCCCTTCACTACCGGGCTTGGGCTTCAGCGATGCGCTTCCGGCCAACTCACCCGTTATATCCTCTACCGCAGGTCTCCTTGACTCCTTAATGAAACGCCTAGGCTACTCTTTTTACCTAGTATCAAATACAGGCGCAGGGGTCTCTTCACCAGCTCATATCGACTATAAACTTGCTGATTGGTTATCAACGCAATATTCAGACTCGTGTCTCGGAACTCATCTCATCTCTCCGCCACTGACTCAACCGAGACTCCAAGAAGCGCCTCTGGCGTGGGCAAAATGGTCCATTGCTAGGTTCTTCGAGGCGTCCATGTTAGGATACCGCTCGGACGACTTCTCTGTCTTTAGGCAAGGCGGTGTTGGGACGCCCAAGAAATCGACGATCGCCGCGAGACTTCAGCGAAGTAAACCGGGCCTCGCGGAGCCCAACACATTATCATATGCACTCTGCGACTCGCCCACAGGACTTCTGGTCTTTGTGATGAAGGGCCTCTGCCTACTCGCTCCCCATAAGGAGTTCACGCCCAAAGAAATTATTAATTTCACGCAGCTCGCTTGGCTCCCTGGTCCCGAGTCCGCCATGCGTTTCTGGGGGCACTGTGCGCGCCACCCAGAAATTGCAGGCAGAAAGTCCTCTAGGAAGCCGCACGTGGCATTGACCGTATTTCTTGGAGACATCAAACGAGAGGCGCCCCGGGCCAGCAATGGCGAAAATGGAGAGGCTAGTTCCGACATGTTTGATGGGGCGAAAACTCCATATTCCTTCCCTAGCTGGGCCAAGACACGATACAACGTACTACACACCAACCGCGCGAGCGGCGACCCTGGTCTTCTCGCCTGGGAACGACCA